ACACACACACACACACACACATAGTATACCTACTTATATCTTCGAACGAACGGCTTTTCTCCAAATAACGGCTACATGTAATGGCGGCACACACACACACACACACAAAAACCTGACAGGGCCTAATTTGGTCATGTGTTGTAAACATTCAAAAACTTAAACTCGAAAAAAAAAAAGGAAAAAGGAAATTGACTACTTACTGATAATTAACTCCTTTATATCTAAAAATTGTGGCACAGAAGTAGCACATAGTGCCCGAAAATCTGCTGTTTGTGGCTGTTTTGTGGCCGCCATAATGTGGCAGTAATTCGGAGAGTATCCCTCGCGCCGCTACGCGCGGCGGATGGGGTGCTAAACTAGATGCTAGATGGCTGGGACTAACAAGCAAAAAAATGACGAAGCTGCACGTAGCGGCGCGGGGAAAACTCTCGGCAGCAAGTTTAACTCGGCGGTTTGTTATGTTTCCCACTTGTAACGCGTGTTTTGTTGCGTTTCGCGACATCAACCCAGGAAATTTATCCTACTTTTGCCGTGATTGAAGCCCATTTATAGGTGTGTGTGTGTTTTTTTTTTTTTACCTCCATAATATGTGGCCACTATTCGGAGGATTGCAGAAGGAACTTTAGTTTCAAAGGGTCACAAATTGGGCAGGCAAGCCAATAGCTTCGGTACTTTGACCAGCACCGGGAAAAAATGTCTTTTGGAGAGAAAGTGTTGGGGCGAGAAGGAACCTTCTTCTCAAAGTTTATGTCGTATAGCGTTGGTAGTCATGTCCATCCTCAACCTTCTGTCGCGTACTTTGAATTAACTCTTATAAACATGATCTTCCATGCCATGATCTCAAACTGTCCAGCTTCTTTTCTCTCGGTCTGCCTCTGCCTCTCCTCCCTCCGAATTTCCTACTGTCATAATGTACACCAGTTTTCTCCTTCTCATCACATGACAACAGAATGAAGATTGTCTCTTTCTGATGTGGACAATCAGTTCTCTTGGTGACTCACGTTATTGCAAGACATCTTTATGCCTCTGTTTTTTCTGTCCAGGGTATTCTCCTCACTCATCTATAAAAACGCATCTCCGCAACTTCCAAATAATTGTTTTTACTAATTTACCAGCTGTCACTGATTCACTTCCATATATCAAGATAGGATTTATATAGCTTTTAAGATTGCTCTTTTTCGTATCAATCGACAAAGAAAGATTGTATAAAATATTCCTTTTCTGACAAAATACTGCCTTTGCTTGAGCTATTCGACATTTAACTTCTTTAATACATCTTCCTTCTGATGTTATAAGGGTACCAAGTACCTGGTCTTGTGTTTAGTCAAGAATTAACGTCATAGCACTCGGGGCATTCCCATGCGTGCTCCGTCCTTATCTTCAGCAGCCAGTGCAGAGTTCCAGTACTGATGGTACCAGTCACAATCTGGTAATACGTCCGTCTTGCCTTTCCTCTGAGTGTAGAGAGCCAGCCAGACCCTCTGGTTACACCCAGGTGCCTCATTCTCTCCAGACCATAATATTCTTGTTTATCTACTGATTCCGTTGCGTGTTCCCAAAGGGCCTTGACCACATCTGCCTTGTCATGTATCAATTCACCACCCAGTGGTGCAGATCCAGCCAAGCTGTCTGCCTGTTCATTGTCTGGTTTTGTGTTACTGATAGCAAACTGTTTCTGAATCGGCTGTTTGTAGGTATGTAATCAGTATGGTTACAACAATTATTTTCGGGGCTTTTCCCAAGTCCACAGGCATCTGGGATTTTGTTTAAAGTGAGTATTTCCAGTCACACCGTATGCGTCTTCGCCCATTCAACCAGTTGTTCTCCTCTTAGATTTCTCTCCCCATGACCATATCTATCTGTAATGTCTTCATCCTTTACTTGACCAGCCTGTGCAATAGAGCAGTGGTTTTCAACCTTCCTAATGCCGTAACGTCGGTTCTGTGGCTAAGTCGATGCCAAAGTTTCGTAATGCCGGGTTCGATCCCAGATGCGAGCCATGCGTCTTGCGTTGGTTTCCGACAGTGGTATCAGGGGGCCGTCCGTGCAGTTAGCAAGGGCAAACTACTGGACGTGGATTTGCCTGGAGAAGCCACACAGCCGGGGGCTGCTGGTTCTGGTTCTGCAATGTCCTGTAAAGGATACGCAACTAACCTTAACGCCGTAACCCTTTAATACAGTTCCTCAGGTTGTGGCAACCCCAAACCATAAAATTATTTTCGTTGCTACTTCACAACTTCAGTGAATGTGTGTTTTCCGAGGGTCTTATATGACCCCTGTGAAATAGTCGTTTGATCCCCCAATGGGCCGCGACCCACAGGTTGAGAACCGCTGTATTAAAGTTACCTAGCACTATAGTTGTTTCCCTTGTTTTACACTGTTCTCCGGCTATGTTTAGTTGTTTGTAAAAATCATTGCTTTCTTCCTCTGAACTGTCTGCCGTTGGTGAACAGACATGTATAATTTTCACATCTACTACCCCCTCCCACCCCGTGTGGGTTCCGGAGCCCCATTGTGGGGAAAACAAGAATAGACCCACTGCCTCCCCAAAAGCATGTCGTAGGAGTCGACTAATTGGGGAGCTTCCTTTGAAGTTGGAGTGCATCTGCCGGAGAGGCAAGGAACCAACAGTCTGTATTCAAGAGAATGAGATCTGTAAAACTGATGCACACGCAACACTCAGGTTCTGGAGCAGGACTGCAGTTCAGTGGTGGACGAGCAACCAGAACTTTCCGCCAGAGTGTACAGCTGGCAAACGCTAAGTAATAAAAAAGACATCTACTACCTTCCATGTTAACATTAGGAATCTTTCTGGTGTTTCATATTCGCAGTCTTTCATCATTTTTGTGGCAACTATTTTTTGTTGATGGCCAGTGTTTTGAAGTGTTGTGATATTGTTGACTATTTTTAGTTTTTTTTTGTTTTGTTGTTGAAATATTCGATAATATTACTGAATAAGTTAACACGCGTATTAACAAAGGCTTTTACGGGGTGCAACCTGTAAAGAAACGTATTGTGTTTTCTACGACGTGGTAAGAAAATATTAACTTAATATGACTAACAAAATCTGTTCTATTGTCATGCATCTTTTTACTGTTTTTGCTTTTTCTTGAGCATTAAAAAGATTGTTAAATCCAATATTATCTTACCACATCCCGAAATCTTGCTACTTCCATGTGCGGTGTCAAATGTTTTTTTTTAAATCTTTCTAAAAATGTATTTTAGTTAACATTCAAATATGATCGCCATGCGTTACTATATTTACAGTGTACTGTAGGAGAATAAATGTTAAAATTTGAGTGTGTTGGACTCTTGAACATATTAATTTAGTTTTATTTTCAACAGGAAGAGACGCCTCAGAACTGCTACGATTTGTAATTTGAGTGTGGCCCTTGAACGGATTATGTCAGAACTCTTCGCTGCCTGCTGAAGATGGGGACAACTCTGCCCTAAACGCATTCGTGTTAGCTTTTTTTTTTTACAGTTAACCAAGCAGGCTAAAGAAGGGATCATACAGCATGGGGATCAATACTGTCTAGGCTTTGTGCTATAAAGATCAGGAACTTCCTCCGTGGCTCTGATTTGTATCACCATGGGCTGTTATTTCACGCCTCTCTGAAGCACAACAGAAGTACACAGCTGTCAGGAAAGGTGCCAACAACATCATAGGTAACACAAGGTGAGCCAAATGGTACCCACAGAGAGTGATAACACAAGGCTCACACTGATACTGAAAAACAGGATAGATAGCGACTGTTGTTCTTCTTTTGCTTGCCTTTCTAGCCCCAATGGAGCATAGGCCCACAACCAACTGACCCCAAGTCGTTCTATCTGTTGCTATCGCAATGTAGCTCTCTCCATATTTACCTAATTCTCGAGCTCCCTTCTCCGTGTTTTTTTTTGGCCTTCCTTTATTCCTATGCCCCTGTGGGTTCCAGTGGAGACACATACTAGTTATATTGTTGTCAAGGTTTTTTTCAATGTGTGTCCTATTAAACGCCAGCATCTTTTCTTCACCTCTAGGTTCACTGGAGATTGTTTAGTTCTCTCCCAAAGCTCTACATAAGTGATCTTATTGTGCCATTTAGTTCTCTCCCAAAGCTCAACATAAGTGATCTTATTGTGCCATTTAGTTCTCTCCCAAAGCTCAACATAAGTGATCTTATTGTGCCATTTAGTTCTCTCCCAAAGCTCAACATAAGTGATCTTATTGTGCCATTTAGTTCTCTCCCAAAGCTCTACATAAGTGATTCTATCATACCATTTAGTTCTCTCTATTCTGCGCAGGCATCAGTTAATGAATGTTTGTAGTTTATTAGTAATTGCTGTAGTTGTTCTCCATGTTTCCAACCCATACAAAAGTACTGATTCAACATTAGTATTAAATTTTTTTAGTTTAGTATTCCTTTTAATTTCTTTTGACCTCCACAAATTCCTTAACGCTATGAAAGCTTCACTTGCTTTTTGTATTCTTATTTTAATATCTCTATCGTGGTGACTGTTACATCTACAAAAAAAAATAACTGAACACACAAACTGTATGAGACAAACAAACAAAACCAAACTTAATAAAAGCTTAGAAAAACTGTTTTAATTATGTATCAGGTCAACAAAATAAACAATGTTACATCATCATCATCTGCCCTGCCGATAAAAGTAGGCACTTATAGTCTTCCGTCTCACATGACCCCACTATAATCATGGATCAAGTCAACGTTCTAGTCCTGTGCCATCCATGTGGTAAAAGTAGGCACTTATAGTCTGCCGTCTCATATGACCCCACTAGAATCATGGATCAAGTCAATGTTCTAGTCCTGCGCCATCCATGTGGTAAAAGTAGGCACTTATAGTCTGCCATCTCATATGACCCCACTAGAATCATGGATCAAGTCAATGTTCTAGTCCTGCGCCATCCAAAAGCTTCTAGGTATTAATGGCTTTCTCCTCCCCCTGACTCTGTCCATCAATCAAGTTATGTATACTATATATAAAAACAAAGGTTATGTTGATTCTTGAGCTGTTTGAAGGATAACCTGTGGCTGAAACGAGAGGGAGCGGGGGCAATTAATTAAATAAAGCTACAAGCAAGGCTTAAAATTAAAATGAAAACCTCAAAAGTGTGAAAGAAATTAAAAAAAAAACAATCCACTGTCCTGTAACACTGTCAATACTGATGTTAAGGATGTCAACAGTGTAAAGCATGTGACATCACAGTGCAAATGAACACAGTGACGCTGTCATGACAGTTTAAAAGATGACCACCCAACTTTTGACCTGCATGAAAGAGGAGCAGCGTTTTGTTTTCCAATTTTTTTTAATTTGTGAAGGGGTTTATCATTTTCTTCACGATCCCCAGCTGTAAACCCCAGTAGGAAGTTCTGGTTGTTCGGCCACCTCTGACTTTAGTCATGTTCCAGAACCTGAGTGTCGCGGTGCATATCTGTTAAACAAATCTGGCTTATCTGTATGCAGACTCCTGATTCCTTGCCACTCAGGCCGATGTACTTCAAAGGATGTCCAATGAGCTGATTCTATGACATGTTTGTTGGGGAGGCAGTATGTCCTATCTTTCTATTTCTTTCTATGAGTGCCAATCAATATAGGTCTATTTGTTTAACACGTACAAATCTTTTGTTTTATCTTTGTGCTCACTGACTGCAAGCAATAACAGTTGTTCATCCACCTCTGGATTTTGGCCTTGTTCCAGGAATTAAGTGTTGTGTGCATACCTACTGAGCAGATCTGGCTTATCTGTGTGCAGACTGTTGGTTTCTTGCTTTTCTCTAGCATGGGGGTTCAAAGCTAAAGTGAATGGATGTCGCTTAGGGCAGCAGAGCCTGGCATATGATATCACGTCTAGTTTCAGAATGGAGGTGGAGGCAGTCACTGCTGCCTTTCACTGGCTTGAGAATCAGCCATACACACATGTCATAATTATAACTGACTGACAGAGCATGTTAAGAAAGGTAAAGAGAAGCATGCTCTGTGCTAAGTGACAAGCATCGCTTCAGAGGTCCCCAGTAGTTAGCCTTCTTCAGATATTTCTCCATGTCTTGCACATCTACTGAACAATGAGTGGGCTGATAGACTCGGTGGTGAACTGAAGTGTGACAAGCTAGATGTTGTGAGAGTCCTTTGAGAGCAAGTAAACAGTGCAGAGGCCCAAACAGATCATTACAGTCTGAGGAAAATGGCGCTGCAAGGAGTTACCAGGGGATCTGGCTGATGCTCAACAGTCAAGGGAAAGGCGAGATGGATATAAACAGTCAGACACTTACTGGTGCCATCAGAACTGGAACTCTTCACTTGCGTTTGCTGCTGAAGATGGGAATATAGCGCTTATGGGGGTGTGCTGTGATGTTCATTCTTAATTCAATATTAGGTTTTTCTCTAAATTACTTGTTCTACAAGAATAACCCACAATTAGTAGAACAGGGTTCAAAAGGGTTAAATGGTGTTTGTGTTCAAGCACTGTTCTAATCTTAATCACAAGCAAGGTTAAAAAAGGTTCAAATATTCAGTCTGAACAGAGTTTCCATACTCAGTGTGAAGAGTTCCCATGCTCAGTGTGAAGAGTTCCCATACTCAGTGTGAAGAGTTCCCATACTCAGTGTGAAGAGTTCCCATGCTCAGTGTGAACAGGGTTCCCGCACTCTGAACAGTTCCCACGTTCAGAGTGAGCAGATTTTCCATGCTTAGTGTGAATTATTCCCAGGCTCAGAGTGAATAGAGTTTCAAAGTTCAGTGTGTAAACATAGTTCCCCTGCTCAGTGTGAACAGTTACCACGCTCAGCTTTAACACAGTTTTTTTTTTTAAATTGAAACACTAAGCTCTCAGACTAGGTAAAAACAAAACACAAAAGAGAAAAACTACCTGATCACAGGCAGATGCCGCTGAGCTCTTCAATCTGTCTCTCTTTATCTGCAGCAGCTTCGTCTGCCTAAGGAATGAAACAAAACATTAGATTTACAGAAAGAATGAAAAATATTCAAATAGAATTCAAAGACCAGCTGAAGTCTTCTTCTTCGCGTTCACCGGCTGTAAACTCCGGCGGAAAGTTCTGGGTATTCTTCCAACTCAGGGCTTGAGTCTTGTTTACAGAACCTGAGTGTTGTGTGGACATCTGTTTTACAGATCTGCCTCATTTGTATGCAGACTGTTGGTTCCTTGCCTCTCAGGCAGATGCACTCCGACTTTGAAGGAAGCTCCCAATTAGTCCACTCTTGACAGGTTTTATAGGTTACAAGAGAACAACATGGTTACTGTAATTGTTATCACACTTTTAAGGTTTTCATTTAAAGCTCCCTAGTAAATTTCAAAGAATCAAGAGGTGAGTTAATGACGCTGGTGTTGGATAGGACACACAATGAAAAAACTTGATGAATTAAGCTGAATGTTTTTGTGTGCAGGAACCCACAGGATCAAAGGAATAAAGCAAAAAAAAACAAACAGAAAAAAAAAACAGAGAAGATAACTAAGAGATGAGAAGAACAATTATGAGAAGGACACAGGCTGAGATGCCTGTACAATAGTACAGAATTGGAGACATGTTGCGAGTTGGATCAAGGGGTTGAAGGTTTCTGCTCTACCTTGAGATTTTAAAGCTTTCAACCCCAACATTTTTTTTAGAAATGACTTTTTTCAAAACGTAATTAATTAGATCCTTGTGTGGGTTCCAGGGCCCTTTTATAGGGAAAAAAAAGAATACACCCCTGCCTACCCAAAAGCATATTGTAAGAGTGGACTAACTTGGAGCTTTCTTCAAAGTCGGGTGCATCTGCCTGAGAGGCAAGGAACCAGCAGTCTGCATTCAAATGAGATCTGTAAAAATGGATGCACAAGGAACACTTAGGTTCTGATACAGGACTACAGTCCAAAAGTGGATGAACAACCAAAATTTTCCACCAGAGTTTACAGATGGTGAACACGAATAAAAAGAAGAATTAACAGGAAATGTATCTTTACAATTCTCTGACACGCTACCTCAAGAAACTATAGGAAGAATAGAAGCAGAAGAAAGCCGGAGTCTTGGTCAGTTTTTATAAAAACCCAAGGGAGTGAAATCGATGACCACGAGTAGACAGGCAAGAGTGACAGCTACTGTAGGGGGGGGTCTACGTGGCCAAGTGGTCAAGCCTTTTGCCTTAAAGGTCGTGGGTTCATTTCACAGCTGGAGCCTTTCAGTTCACGAGTGCAAGTTTTTACGGAGATCCCTGGAGATCGTCACGGGAGGTATGGAGCTCGTGCTCTGTACAGCGCTCTCAGCGGGCGGCTAGCCTTTTAGCGGAGAGAGACCAAGCCAGATCGGGTAAAACCCGGTGCAATGAAGTTATCCCATTGACTTCAACTTTAGGCAAGAGTGACGGTTACTGCTATACTGCAGCCGTCAAATCACTAAATTCTTATCAATTCTTTAAATTCATATTTAAAAACCACTGGATGTTATTACGAAATACAGAGCAAAATAATTAACTGCCTTCCTTTCTTTTGACGAACAAATACGTGATTTTTATAAAGTACAATGAAAAGCGATGTCTCTATGAGATTTCATGACGTCAAAATTTTTTTTTTAATTTGATTTTTATCTACCACCCTATAAAATATTCCAATTCTACTTTTATAAAAATTATCATAACCACTGGATGATTATTTAACCATTGGTGCAGTTGCAATCCGCACCAAGGGTGTTATACTGGTCCTTTGCCCCAAGACTACCTGCCATCTATATTCTTTTGTCGTCTCACTGGTACCAGGTTGCAGCCCAGAGTTGTGGTTTTATGTATTTGGTGCATCTTGGGTGATGGATTTGTTCATCTTTTTGCAGCTTTCAGCTAAACCATTTATCCATCTCTTTCCTGGTCTTCCTCTTGCCTTCCTCCAACATGTTCTGCTGTAAAAAGTCTCGGATGCAGTTTGGCCTGGCTGCATTCTCACTAAATGGCCGAACCATTTTTTTTCTTCATCTGTCTTAATCTGCTGCATGGCAGCGAATCTTGGAATGTCAGGGAACAAATTAAGAAGAATTTGGAAGCAACAGAGATGTGGTTTCTGAGGTAAATGTCAAGAATACCTTGGACGACCAGAGTAACTAATAACAATTGCTTGAAAAAAGCTAATGAAAGTAAATCTTAATATATAACAATAAGGAGACCAACACTGTTCTTTGGCCACATAATGAGAGGAGAGACATTGGAGAATATCGTGACGACTGGAAAGATCAATGAGAAAAAGGGGTAGAAGCAGACCAAGAAAGATGATGCTGGATGGGCTGAAACGATGGCTTGGAGGGATATCATCAAGAAAGCTATTCCAGGCAACCAGAGATCGTGATCTGTAGAGATGCATGAGCGCATACCCGAGTTGGCAGGGCATATGATGATGATGATGTCGATATTATCCAGACACGCTCTTATTCCAACATTCTCTGTCATCAAAATCCAGTAAGTACTGAACAAAAAAACTGATTTTTCTTCTGCAGTTGCCCTTTAAAGGAAGCTGGCATGCTGTATTGTGGTTTACAGCTAATGTATCAGATCTAACCTTTGCAGCCCAATGTGTCTGGTTCCAGCAAACCTTTCAATAGCTGCCTTCTAAGACACGCTTGCTGAAGGACAGTGCCCCCCCCCCCCCCCCAATGATGTTTTAGAACCCAAAAAGAAAATGCAGAAATAAAGTGTCAAATAAAATAAAGGACCAGAAATATATACGAGGGGGAAGTAATTAAGTAACGGCAATTGTTCTGTGGCATATTTCGTGACAGTCTTGCTGCCTTGCAACACACGTAGTCCACCGATCCACAAGATTGTGGATGCCCGCCACCTAGAAGCTTTTGCGTTGAGTTGTGTCAAGAATTGACAGCACAGCACTCGGGGCATACCCATGTGCGCTCCGTCCTCATCTTCAGCAGCCAGCAGAGAGTTCCAATACTGATGGTACCGGCCACAATCTGGTTATATGCCCGTCTTGCCATCTCTCTGAGTGCAGTGAGTCAGCCAGACGCTCTGGTTACACCCAGATGCCTCATTCTCTCCAGCATAATAATCTTCTATCTCTACTGGTTCTGTTGCTTGTTCCCAAAGGGCCTTGACCACACCTGCCTTGTCATATATCAATTGACCACCCATTGATGCAGATCCAACCAATCTGTCAGCCTGTTCATTACCCACTACGCCGGCACTGTCCATGAAGCTTGCCACATGCCTGAAGCATCCGTCTTCACCTTTCTCAGAGTCTGTTACAATTGTGTATGCATCTTGCGTAAGCTTTTGGGTGTGGCCGGTTACCAAGTTTCACCACCCATATTATCTTATCGTTTCTGCAAATCTATGACCCCGCAAATGTTCTTACAATGGCTATATGCAAGATGTTTCAATACTCTCAATGAATTAACATACGGCCACTGACATACCAAAAGATGGTAAGCTTGACCTTCCCAGCTGAAGCATGCGTCTTCAATTGTGTCGGTGACGATAATGATGTGTGCTTCCACTACATTGACTATCTCTGTGCTTCCACTACATTGACTATCTCTGTGCTTCCACTACATTGACTATCTCTGTGCTTCCACTACATTGACTATCTCTGTGCTTCCACTACATTGACTATCTCTGTGCTTCCACTACATTGACTATCTCTGTGCTTCCACTACATTGACTATCTCTGTGCTTCCACTACATTGACTATCTCTGTGCTTCCACTACATTGACTATCTCTGTGCTTCCACTACATTGACTATCTCTGTGCTTCCACTACATTGACTATCTCTGTGTTTCCACTACATTGACTATTTCTGTGCTTCCACTACATTGACTATCTCTGTGCTTCCACTACATTGACTATCTCTGTGCTTCCACTACATTGACTATCTCTGTGCTTCCACTACATTGACTATCTCTGTGCTTCCACTACATTGACTATCTCTGTGCTTCCACTACATTGACTATCTCTGTGCTTCCACTACATTGACTATCTCTTACTTTCTGGTTCATGAAGGTTCACAGAGGACTCATGAGTCACAATTCGATGAAGACAAGCATCTCCTTTGCGGACATGATGACCTTTGTGTATTGTAAAGGGGCCATTCAGTGTCCTGGAACAATATGTTTGTTTTTCTTCTGCATACTGCTCTAGGGTTGACTAGGATACAACTGCCTTCACTTAATGTCTAATTTAGCTGAAGTATTACCTGACTTCTTCATCCAGCGTCAATGACAGATCAACTTCCAGATCTTCTAGTCGTTTCTTCTCTGCTAACAGGAGTTTCTATGGACATTAAATTCATTTATTAGACAAGGATACTCTCAAAATTTTCTAATCGCTGGACTTAACTGTTCACAAGTTTTTCAAATGTGAAAGTGAGGGACATTTCATATGATTTTCACTGGCATAGAAACTGAGCAAGTTTGGGGAAAAAACCTGCTTGCATTGAAGCTGAAACCTCGACTAGACTAAGACTCTCAAAATACAGTGTCCTAAATTGAAGTTGTTGTAAATCAGGACAATGTCAACCAATCCTACCATGATGAGGCACATGATTGTGCAGCGGGTAAATTCAGAATGGCTGACCGTCGGTTTACATGTGGGCTGGCTAACTGCCATCATGTAATAATTTTAGGTGTATACAGCCAACTTACTGTGACTGACTACTTCCATCAACTACAAACTACATTTCTGGTGGTGACAGTTGGTTTTGGCACCTCTAGCAACTGTCATATGCATTTACTGCAAGCACAGATTTTTGGATTATGCCGGACACGAGGGATATTTCATTTGATTTTCACTGGCACAGGAATGGAGGAAGTACTGGGTGACGCTACTGCAGTGAAGTTGAAACCTCAACTAACACCAAGACTGTGCAGGGTAGGGTTTTATTTTCTTACGGGGACAGTTAACATTCAGTACATCCACCTGGTCCATAGCTTGACTGCCCTCCACTGCAGCCTCACCTGCGAGCTGGTTCATCTCCATGAACAGGTCCTGCTCAAAAAATGAAACTGATCTTTGTCCGCATTGATTATCTCAGAGACACCAACCGTTGTCAATTGGCTCAGCCCACCTCTATACAGTGACACCAACCGTTGTCAAAAGGCTCAGCCCACCTCTATACAGTGACACCAACCGTTGTCAAAAGGCTCAGCCCACCTCTATACAGTGACACCAACCGTTGTCAAAAGGCTCAGCCCACCTCTATACAGTGACACCAACCGTTGTCAAAAGGCTCAGCCCACCTCTATACAGAGACACCAACCGTTGTCAAAAGGCTCAGCCCACCTCTATACAGAGACACCAACCGTTGTCAATAGGCTCAGCCCACCTCTATACAGAGACACCAGCCGTTGTCAATAGGCTCAGCCCACCTCTATACAGAGACACCAACCGTTGTCAATAGGCTCAGCCCACCTCTATACAGAGACACCAACCGTTGTCAATAGGCTCAGCCCACCTCTATACAGAGACACCAACCGTTGTCAAAAGGCTCAGCCCACCTCTATCTTCCTGAGCATGCTCACTGAGGCACACATTGGCGACAGGGTCGCCCATTGCCCGGCCAGCAGGTGACTTGGTCATCAGTCGTGACTGTATTTGGGTCTGTCTCCCTTGATCACATCAACACTGCAAGAGTCGTTTTCCTGCCTACTTGGTGGCCAGCAATGTTGAGCTATTTTAAATTGTACCCACAAATAACCTGGGTCACAATTATAACCAAGAGCTCCTGCTTCAGAGATGCTGGCTGAATGTGATGACTTTTTATTTTTTCTTAAAAAACAGGCGAATGACGGACACTGAGTCACTGTGTCTAGTCTCATTTCTTGTAACTTGCTGTTCTTGCAGTCTGATCATGGTTGCTGATTCACTAACTTAATAAAAACATTTTTCCCCAATATATAAAATGAAATGGTTTGGCCACCTGGTTAGAACAAACCCAGCAAAAGCATACAACAAGAGCATGGAAACATCAAGATGCAGAGGAAGGCCAGCAGAAGATGGATAGATGGAGTTAACAATTTGATGAAACTCAACAATATCACCATGCAGTCGGTTGATGAGCCCATAATATCCTGGAAACTGATCATTAGCTGTGCCAGCGACGCCTAACAGCAGTAAGCAGAGAAAGATGATAGACAGAAAGAAAGACAGTCAGAGAGACCAGATAAGATTCCCAGGAGTCTTTTTTTTTTAGTTTAAAAGTGGGGATTTTCATGCATGGAATGTGTTTCATTAAACTATTTATTTCTTAATTCTGGACTAAAGAAATGGAGGTCGCCTTATACATGTGGGTGTCTTATACATGGGTGAATCTGATACATGTGGGTGTCTTATATGTGGGGGTATCTAATACACAGGGGTGTCTTATACATGAGGGTATCTGATACATGGGGGCGTCTCATATGTGGAGGTATCTGATACACGGGGGTGTCTTATACATGGAGGTATCTTATACATGGGGGTATCTGATACATAGGGGTGTCTTATACATTGGGGGTATCTGATACACAGGGGTGTCTTATACATGGGGGTATCTGATACATAGAGGCATCTCATACATAAGGGGTATCTGATACAAGGGGGTGACATACATGGGAGTATATGATACACTGGGGTGTTTTAAACATAAGGGTATATGATACATGGGGGTTTCTGACACATTAGGGTGTCTTATACACTGGGGTGTCTGATACACAGGGGTATCTGATACACATGGATATCTCATACACTGGGGTAACTGATACACAGGGGTATCTCATACACAGGGTTATCTGACACATGGGGGTATCACCTACACCGATGTATCTCATACACAGGGGTATCTCATACACTGGGCTGTCTGATACACAGGGGTATCTCATACACGGGGTATCTGACACATGGGGGAATCTGATACACTTGGGGGGAAAACATATGATCTGTCTACAAAGCCTCCATCTAAACTTCAGAATAGAGTGCCTAACTGATTACCTGTGAAGTCTTCAGTGATTTACTGTCAGTCCATGTTACCTTAGGTACTCTGACTTCCTCCAATGTATGCTGGACACTGCAATTAATGAAAAAATTACAGGATTATCTGCTGCTTCTAAACATGAAGTGTGGAACAGACCTACAGCCTCTCCAAGCATGTCCCAAGTGTCGACTAAAATAAAACTTCTTTCGAAGTTGGAGTGCATCTGCATGACAGGCAAGGAACAACAATCTGCTCATAAATAGGCCAGTTCTGTACCCCCCCCCCCCCCCCCTTCCCAAAAAAAAAACAGATGTGCACATTACACTTAAGTTCTGGAAACGGATGGACAACCAGAACTTTCCGCCAGAGTTAACAGCCAGTGAATGCGAAAAAGAAGAGGAAGAAACAGAAGCAGAAGAGGATGAAGCAGAAGAAGAAGAGGAAGAAGCAGAAGAAGAAGAAGAAGAAGAAGAAGAAGAAGAAAAAGAAGAAGAAGAAGAGAAGAAGAAGAAGAAGAAGAAGAAGAAGAAGAAGAAGAAGAAGAAGAAGAGGAAGAGGCAGAAGAAGAGGAAAAAGAAGAATGTAATGAGTCAAAGAGGTAGACTTGGAAAGAGTCGAAGCTCAACTTGAAATAAGTCGTAGTCTACTTGAAATGATTCTTGGTTCGGCTTTAACGTCTAGGGTTGACAACACAAACGCTGCTCGTCTTCTTGGTACATTCTGTCAGTTTATTCTCGTCCATTTATTTCACATATTCAAACATTATTTACACTTTAGCACTCGCGACATATTCAAACATTAAACATTTGCGCAACATAAAGACTACGTCTTCCAATACTACAACCGTCTACTCTGACTTCTCATGATCGACTGACTACGAGGCTAGCTCGGGCTTTCCCTCGCTTCCTCGACTAGGCACAAGTATCTCGTGCTGTCCCTTGTTGCACGGACTTTCTGCTTGCCACTATGTAATCGTGAAGACCATGCACAGCACCTCATCACATACTCCCCCCCTTTTTAACAAAATGATACTTTATGGAACATCAAGTATCATTTTCCCTTTTACTGATAGATGACTCAATGGAACATAAATCTAACCTCAATTACTGCCCTTGGTTTCAAAAATTTTTTCTGTATGTTTTTTTTTAAAGTACTGATCTGGTGATAGATATCTCATCTTTACACCTATTGCATCTGTAGTATAACTTCGTCACTATATCTATTCTATGATGTTCGAGTGAAATAATGATCATTGTGATGATGGTGATGTTAATGGTCAGCTTTGAGATATTTACTAGAGGGATAATAAATCAATTTAAATGTATTACTGCTAGGGATTATAGTTCCTGATTATCCTTAATTACTGCCCTTTAAAACTGCTTTTAGTATTTACTGCATGCTTTCCCTGTACTGAGCTGGTGAAGAGTTTAAACCATCTTTATACCTATTGCACCTGTAGAATTGTCTAGTCACTATATCTACTCTATCAGGTTCAAAGTGAAATGATAGTGATGATGATCAGCTTTGAGATATTTATTACGTAGAAAATTGGATTTAACCAATGTTTCTACCTCACCTTTTACAGGGTGTTAAACCCCAAGGACTCTTAGCCGATATGATAGTGGTGAGATGATTGTCAGCTTTGAGATGTTTACTACATAGAAAATTGGATTCAACCAATATTTCTACATCACCTTTTACAGGGTATTCATCCCCAAGGACTCTTAGCCGATATGATAGTGATAAGATGATGGTCAGCTTTGAGATATTTATTACGTAGAAAATTGGATTTAACCAATGTTTCTACCTCACCTTTCACAGGGTGTTAAACCCCAAGGACTCTTAGCTGATATGATAGTGGTAAGATATATTTAACATAGTGCTTCTAGTTTCCCAAAAGCTCTATAACACCTTTTACAGGGTAATTACCCAACCCCAAGGAATCTACCACAGAAAAAAAAATGCATGTTGAGATATTTTTTTCATAGACCAAAGTCTCACCTTTCACAGAGTAATTACCCAACTCCAAGGAATCTAACATGAAAACAATGATAGCTGAGATATATTTTTCATAGATCTTAAAGTTTCCTCCAGGTCTATTACCACCTTTAACAGAGTATTCAACTCCAAGGAATCCCACAACCTTTTCCCCCTTTAGATGGATACAGATGAGTTCAACTCCTCTACTGTGCTTGTGCTTTGATGTGTGCATTTTTTCTTTACCATCAGTATGTCTATTCAGCATCAGTATAACTATAGATGGTTCCTAATCTTGGATGTGGTGGACAACTTTAGCATGTCCCTGTGCTGTGTACCTATGCCAAAACATTTCAAATTGAATTTATGTAAATCATTCTGTGGAAAAAGATTTCTATATGATCTATTGCTAAATCTTTAATTCGGTTGTGCTGTTCCTGGGGAGAGAGAATTTTTTTTTTTTTTTTTTTTGAACTTTTGAACTATTAACTCTGTTATTACATGAATACTAAACTATTCCTAATGAACTACTAACTCTGTCATTACATGAATACTAAACTATTCCTAATGAACTACTAACCTAAGTTAAATGCATGTACACTATTAAAATACTACCCACAAATCTTTCATTCATCATTCATTCCTGTTTTATTCTCTTTCATTCCCATTCATTCCAATAACTATCCTTGATCTTGATCCATCTCTGCAGGCTGTGTGTCTTGCTTGTACTCTGACGCTTGCTTTCCAGGTTCTCATTCCTTGGTTCCCTCGACAGTCTGTTCTGCTCTTGGGTCTTTCATGGTAGGATAGCTGGTAATCTTGGAAATATACTGACTAAAAATATTATAATTTTATAAGTTAACACAATACTATTATCATTGTTCAGTGACTGTATACACTAATATGCCACCTTTAAAATAATTCGTAATGAAATTAAACGGAAGGTGTTCAATACACACAGTATGTGACTTCTAAATGAAACCAGGTGTTTATGCACTTTTTTAAAAATACTTATCAATTTAACAATTTATTTACTGATATGCCACCTTTAAAATAATTCGTAATGAAACTAAACGGAAGGTGTTCAATACACACAGTATGTGACTTATAAATGAAACCAGGTGTTTATGCACTTTTTAAAATACTTCATTAATTTGATATTTACACAAACACTAGATTATTAACTTGATTAACTTTCACAATTAATATTTGTGTACACACGATGTACTACTGACATTTTTGTGGCTGTTGATTGTGCTTAAACTGTAGGAATGCTTCATTATTCTCGCATTCTTTATTTTATGATACGTTTGGTATTCGACGATCTTGATATTGTATAGATGCTCTTGAAGTGTTGCTTAGAATTTGATGATTTTGAAATGTTTCAATGGTCGATTTTGAGGTATCTGGAGAAAAATCAATTTCGTGTTCCTTGATGGTGATTTTCAAATTTGAATAATTCAGTGGTTGATATGTTTCTGTTCATTCACTGTACAGTACAGGTTGGTGATTTCTGATTTTGGTTGGTCAAACTGTGATGGCTGATCAAACTGTGATGGCTGGTCAAACTATTTGGCTGGTCAAACTGAGATGGCTGGTCAAACTGTTTTGACTGGTCAAACTGTGATGACTGGTCAAACTGATGGCATGTCAAACTGTGATGGCATGTCAAACTGTGATGGCTGGTCAAACTGTGATGGCTGGTCAAACTGTGATGACTGGTCAAACTGTGATGACTGGTCAAACTGTGATGGCATGTCAAACTGTGATGGCATGTCAAACTGTGATGGCATGTCAAACTGTGATGGCTGGTCAAACTGTGATGGCTGGTCAAACTGTGATGACTGGTCAAACTGTGATGGCTGGTCAAACTGTGATGGCATGTCAAACTGTGATGACATGTCAAACTGTGATGACATGTCAAACTGTGATGGCTGGTCAAACTCCAATAAATCTTGGTCTACTTGAAATGAAGCGTGGTCTGCTTGGAATGAGTCGATGCTACACTTGGAATGAACCTTGACGTAGACCTGACATGTACCTTGATTTACACCAACTTTAACATCTAGGGTTGACAACACAAACGCTGCTCGTCTTCTTGGTACATTCTGTCAGTTTATTCTCGTCCATTTATTTCACATATTCAAACATTATTTACACTTTAGCACTCGCGACATATTCAAACATTAAACATTTGCGCAACATAAAGACTACGTCTTCCAATACTACAACCGTCTACTCTGACTTCTCATGATCGACTGACTACGAGGCTAGCTCGGGCTTTCCCTCGCTTCCTCGACTAGGCACAAGTATCTCGTGCTGTTCCTTGTTGCACGGACTTTCTGCTTGCCACTATGTAATCGTGAAGATCATGCACAGCACCTCATCACAAAGAAGAAGAAGAAGAAGAAGAAGAAGAAGAAGAAGAAGAAGAAGAAGAAGAAGAAGAAGAAGAAGATTCAAACTGACAGCTAAAGTAAAAAAAGTTAGTTGCGTAGGTTTACAGTACATGGCAGAACCAACCTCAACCTTTTTCTGGCTGTTTATAATTTTATTAGATAATTTTACATTCAGTAGTTTGCCACTGTTTCCTCGATTCCCCTGTCAAAACCAACATAAGGTGGTCTGCTGCCAAACTGCCCACAGCTGAAATTGAATCTGGCACTCTGGAACTATAAAGCAAATTAACCTTATAGCTAACCGATTTATAGTACACTTCAGAAGATGTGCCCTCACACTTTAACAAACACCTCAAAAACTCCTGCTCGGATCAACCAACATTTTTGCATGTGGCCTTAAATTTCCAATGTCCTTATGATTTTATAATTTACGACAAGTGCTGCTGTTGTCTTAAAGTGGGGAATTTCTTTGAGCTTGTGTGACAAATTATTTGTGTACTCATAAATACAATTTACAGTAACTGACATATGCAAAGAAATATTCAGGACACCAATTCACATGTGCAGCTCAAGACAAACCTTGTGGCCTAGAGAAACATTGGTGCAAGTCAAACTTTACGGATCGCTGAGTGAATTACAAAAGACAGTGATGTTCATACTAGAGACAAGATTGCAGACATAGATAATCTATTTTAAGTGATACAGAAGAAGAAGAACATGTGCAGTGATGCATGGCGGTTATTTTGATAGCCTATCCCACATACAATGAAAAATCCCCAAGTCAAAGGAGACTAATGCTGGAGATGACCACCTGAGAGTGAAATGCACACAAAATGCATCCTGTCTGATGATTTGAGTTCCCGTTACTCAGTTAACTGTAAGCATGCTATTTTGGTGAACTAGAAATAGTCCCAAACACACTGTATTTACATGAGTATAGGCCACAGTGTTTTAACCAAAAATCATTGATGAAAAATCGGGTGCGGCTTATTTTCAAGATATTAGGCCTGCATGTCACTTGTACAAAATTTCTGATTTCTTTTGGTCTGCCTTAACTCTTTGAGTCCCAGGGGGTTTAGCATCACAGGCCTAATGGGTAGTGAATAGACATAAAATCGGCGCATCATACGTTGATTGGGCTTCTAGGTAGGAACCTGTGAATGTATGATGCGTTCCTTGGGACTCAAAGAGTTAAGACAGTGGCCCTGAGGAATATCATCAGTGGAACTGACCCAGAACACCAAAGACCGAGATTCGTGGAGATGCATAAACACCTTCGCTAGCTGGCAATGTACTTAATGAGATACATTTCACCGCTGGGCGATTACTGTGTTCACATTTTTGGGGAGCTACCTCTGTATATTATACACACTGGCTTACTTCCTTAGCTCCATTCTTCCTAATACATTCAGAACTGAACAACTTGCCATGCATTTCTGGACAACTGAATGCTCTTTCTGACTTCTATTACAAACAAGCCTTTTGGAAGAGAGTGAACAGCGCGGAGGCACAAACAGATCATTATGGTCTGAGGAGTTACCAGGGGATATGGCCAACACTCAAGGGAAAGGCAAGACAGATACACAATCAGACAGTCACTGGCACTATCGGAACAGGAACTCTTTGCTTGCTATTGAAGACAGGGATGGAGAGATTATAGGATTGTACCAAGTGCTGTGATGTCGATTCTTAATTCAGTATTTCCCAGTGTGGGTTCCAGGACTTTATTATGGGGGAAGAAACAAGACTAAACCCACTGCCTCCCCAACAAGCACGTCGTAAGAGTTGACTCTTTGGAAGTCAGACAGCATCTGTCTAACAGGCAGGAAACCAATAGTTTGCACACAAATAAGCCAGATGTGTAAAATAGATGTACATGCAAAGCTCAGGTTGTCGTGGAATGATAAGCCATTACACATCAATCCGTAAGACTGGTAACTTGACCTACCTGTAATCGGCACAAAATTCAAACTTGGACTCGTCCGGGAAGGATATAGTCCCTTATATCGATATATATAGGCCTTTATTGGACAAAATTATTATGTCTACATTTTCTAGTTGCTTTGACTTAACTCCACTTTTAAATGTACATCTATTGGATAAATATTAGAGGAGTTATTTGAGGTTTCTTAGAAACCGATTTACTCCTTGCCCATGTATACTAGGAACTCCTTTTTACCAACGCCTGAAGTGCGTAATTTGCGCCATTCTTGTTGCCGGCTTCCAAGCGTTCAGATGTGTGCATCAATGCCAGAAAATTTCACTTTCTTGAGGTGATCTGTAATGTCGGGGACTTTACCTATGCTTGGGTAAGTTATTTATAGTTTACGAGTACCTAAAACAATGTCTGTTAAAGTGGTCACTGCTGCAGAGAGATCAGTATCGGCTGTGGGATCACACATAGTTCGACCGTTCTTGATCGCTAGAGAAGCGGATTCGAACTTAGACCTTCCTCTGTACAGACTAAATAGCCTAGGCCCTAAATAACCCACCCATACTGGTAAAACTAATAACCTTACAAGTGTGTACTATTTAAACTAACAACAGAAGTTTGTGCATACAAATGGGGACAGAATTAGGTCAGGACTTGGTCAGCCAGTGTGTGAGTGCGTTTGACCCAGATCAATGAATGGTGGGACTGGCTTGGGAGTCGTAAGGAATAAAGGTACTGACAGTAAATATTGGTGTCTGTGTGCAGAGGGGAGGGGGGGAGAGAGATTGATATGTGTGTTAGAGTGTCTATCTATCTCCACTATATATCTGACTTTCCATCTCTTGCACTAAACAGACAGATGAATGATAGGAGACCAGTGTCTCCTGGTCTTGAGAGGCATTCTGAGGAATGAAACAGGGGAGCAAAGGTGGAGTAAGCAGACGTGGGATGATGACTGATGCTTGTTCTGTCTTTCCTGTCAAGATGTTACCCTCTTGGTGATGACTAATTCTGAGTTATTTCTTGGCAGGATGAACCCTTTGTGAGGAGCTGGCAGAAGATTCACAGTCCAACCAACACCCACCAACCATAACCCATCAATCAATTAACCCATTACCTACCACTTATCACCCAACTACCAAGTGTGGAGATTGATGTCAGTTTGAGGTGCCATATACCCCAAACTTCCTACAGTACCAGAACATGTGTGTAGCTCATGGACAGTGCTGCTAATGACTAGTGGGAGCCATTTGCTGTGTGTTTATCCAGTGCTGTGTCCTTTATGGTGAGGTACTCCTCCACCAATTGATCCAGTTGAGGCAGAGTCACCAAAGACAGTCGAATCATCAGGAGCTGAGGGAAGCATCATAGACGGAAAGAGGATAAGTTCAGTTTGATGCCTTATGTGCTATATTCCTCACAGCTCCCATGTTTCCCGAGGATGAAGTCGTGTCATCTCTAGATCATTCTGGCTGTTTAGGAGTCCTTGCAATCTGGACATTGTAGTCTGGAATCCAGCTCTGGAGATCTGGCATCTACTTCACTATTTTCTATTTGTACATGTTGTAATGATTACATGCATTCATTTTCATGGCTGACTTAGGTTTCTCTATTTCACCTTTTTAAGTGTTTAGCATTTGTGTGTGTAGGAATCTTAACTATATGTGTTAACATGGTTATGATAATGACTTATCATAACCTGGGGGCTTTCTTTAGTAAGTAGTGGGGGTGTCCAGCCAAGTGTGCCTAGGAATATTGTATTCATATACTGATATATTTTGTAGTGCCAATACTTGAGTTGCCCTACTCCAGAAATACGTTGAGCGTATATTGGCCACGGGGAATCCCTTAGACCAATACGAGCCAAACGACTCAACATAATTATTTCTGTGTGCTGTTGGTTTTGAAGGAGAAATCCTTACATCAGGCACGTGACAGGAGTGATATGTGACACAGGTTTTGGAACAAAACAAAAAAAGTCCAGAAATGGATGAACAACCAGAACTTTCCACCAGAGGTTACAGCCAGTGATCGTGAAAAAGAAGAATAATTCAATATTCATCCCAGTCAGAAAGTATATCAACTATTTATATTCATATTATTGTTTAATCATTTTGTTTTCTGGTGGTACGCAGTACAGGCACCCGTATTTTTTTGGGTTTAAGGCATCATTCTTTCAGTGCTACTATTAGATACTTTTTTTGGGGTAGTGGTACCTTTTTTGTTGTTTTTTAAGGTGAGTACCAGCACCTTATTTTCTAGGAAAAAGTGGTTTAACTACTTCTGTTAACTACTTCATGTGAAAATATAAATATTAATGATTAATTATTATTAAATTCAACTCTTTGAAACAGAATATGGTTAAAGTAACTGCTTGGTACTCAAAGAGTTGGGGCTAAGTCGTGAAGTGTCACAGACCAGTATTCAGCTAAGTTTACTAAGGGACCAACATTCTGAAAATGGAGATCACAGGTCAAAGGTGAGTGCCACAGCACAGAATAAGAAAGATTGTTAATGTGTGTTAGGCTGCTTCTGAAGGCCACTTGCTAGGTCTCCACAGACTGCCAGTTTAACTCTTTGAGTCCCAAGGAACGCATCATACGTTCATAGGGCACTGCCTAGAAGCCCAATAAACGCACGATGCGCCGATTTTATGTCTCTTCTGACTACCCCTTGGGCCTGTGATGCTAAACCCTCTGGGACTCAAAGAGTTAAGAGTCCTCTGTTAGATGTTCACATGTTCTATGCTATTTTCTCCAGGTTATGTCAGTGTGTTTGGAAATAAGCAGGCAGATAGACTGACTGGCTCTGCACCACTTGGTGGTAAATTGATGTATGACAAGTGAGATATTGTGAGGGCCTTTTGTGAGCGAGTGAACAGTGTGGAGGCGCAGAGAGATCATTACGGTCGAAGGAGAATGGCTCTGCAAGGGACTACCAGGGGATCTGGCCGACGCTCAACACTCAGGGGAGGAATGAGACAGATAAACAGTCAGAAGGTTACTGGTACTATCAGAATTTGAACTCTTCCTTGCTGCTGAAATTGGGGACTGAGCACTTATGGGAGTGTCCCAAATGCTGTGATGTCGATTCCTAATTCAACATGCTAGTTGCTAAAGTAAATAACTATATAATTATTTTAAACTAAAAATAAAAAAACGGACAAACCTGTCTCTGATTTTGTGCAAAATTCTCTCAACTGCTTTATTTCCAGAATCAGTAAATGGACTGATGGAATCATCCAGCATTGACAAAATTGTAGTGCCTAAAGTCTTAGGGACTGGTTGCCATTTAGAGCCGGCTTTGGTTGAAATGTTCTTCAACCGAACAGTTTTCTTCTGTTTGTTTACAAGCGGCGAAGTCTTCTGTCTCCTCCTTCCTTCGTTGCTCTTCTTTCTCTTCTGACACTTCGATTGTGAAGTCTGTTTGGCAACTTTAGGACGTGGAATAGTCAT